GCAGAACCCATCTCCCCCTCCTCCACGGGTGGCTCAGCCTGTGGGGGGGGCTGGGGGAGAGTAGATGTGGTCTGCCTGATGTGGGCTTGGGCTTCCCAGCCTGCTGCCCTACCTTGGGGGCTTTCACAGTCCAGCAGGCAGGACCCAGCATGGCAGGGCAGAGCAGAACCAGGCAGGGAAGTTTGGTGCAATCGCTGGGCATCCCATGTCACCATGGCAAGGCACCTGTTGCCCTCTCAGCAGCAGCAAGGGGCACAACTCTGCAATGCTCTCTCTGCTACTGCTGGGTGGGCAGGAGGTGTCTTGCCATGGCAGCATAGGGCGTGGTGGTGGCACCAAGATTCTCCACCCCACTCTGCCCTGCCACACCAGGTCTTACCCAGCATGCAGGGGAGCCTGAGCCTGCAGCCCACACTCACTCCTGCCCCGTGTACAAACCAGGGGGGCACATGCTCCCCATGGCCCCCCAGGAGTGCACACAGCAGCAGGAAACCAGCTCCCTGCTGCCCCCAGGATGAACCACCCATGGCCCTGTCCTGCTTCCCACCTGGGCCCTGCAGCTGCACATTTGGTTCCCAGGCCCTAAACCCCACCCCAGCTGGGCAGCAGCCTCAGACCTGCCCAGCTGCCTCCTTCCCTCACTATGGGGGCCTCAATCCCCCCCCCCACTAGACTCACTTGCAGAGAGCTAATCTCCAGGCTGCCTGGCAGCCATGTGCATGTGTTACATGCACAGATGCACATGGTGCCTCCTGCCTGATTGCCCTTCTTCTGCTCCCCCCAGGCCCTTGCAGGCTGGACCTCTGCTAGCCTGCAAAGGCAAACCTGCCATTTCCCATGTTTCTTTCTTTAAATTGAGAAAATCCAGGCTTTACTGTTTTTCCATGGCAAATAGAAAACCTGGATCTCTGTTTATCACTGCTCTCCCAAATCTCTCCCCCATGCAAAGACATAAAAAGCTGCATTTCAGCAAGGAGCTCTGGACTCTTCTTCTCCAGGAGTGAATTACAGGTCCTAGCTTTGCTGGCATTTGTTCCATGTTGAATTTTCAAATGCAATAAGAGACAAATTTCACCGTCACATGCACACAGGGTTTTCAGCAGCTTCAAACAAGAGCTGGCACATCTGAAGGGGAGGGAAGGGGATGGTATTTGTCACTTTACTGATACTCTGTAAGGATTTAAAGGTGAAATCAGCTTCCCTTTTGAGTGGACAGCGTAAAAATTACCAGGGTGTATTTGCTTCTATCTTGACATACCCTGCACAACACCCCAAGGATACTGCCTGGCCTTTGCCATTTTGTTGCCAATTTTGACTTCTTCAGTGCTGCCAACAACAGCAAACGGAAGGTGGACCTAAAAACGAAACAAAAAAACACACACACAAGAAGTTAGGGATTTCCTCTGCATCTTTGCTAAGAAGGAAACACTCACTGTTCCTTAAGACAACTATACTGACTTTCTGTTACTGAAATGCCTCTGCAGTGGGTGCTCTGGATTAGAGGTATGCTCTCTGACTTCATAGAAAGGATTATCTTTACATAGCAGATGACTGCTTTTCTCGTAAACCATCTCTCTTGCTTTTTGTTATAACATGGATATTATATTTAAAGGCTCCATGCACTTTGAACTTCAATACTGAATGCATCTGTTTTCATAACAAATGTAATATCTCCCTTGCTTCACATGGGACAGGCTGCCAAAGAGATACTTAACCCTGCAAATATGAGTAACTGTTGTTTGTGCATATGTATTTGCTGCACTGATGGGAAGTTCATCACAATGTCTGTGTCCTTTGCAAGAGTCTAGTTAACAGACCAGAACATTAAATCAAACGAAAAGTAAAGCTAAGAGAAAGGCAATTAAAACACAGGAATGTGCTACAGCTAGAAGCTTTGGATCTTTCTGTCAAAGAGTTGGATTACAAGCTAAGGTGCAACTGAAATCAAGAGACTGTGAGTAAACAGCAGCTCTCACACCTCCAAATAAGTCATTTCCCACTTCCTACAGATTACTACTACACACACATGCATGGAAATCTGGTGCTGGCCTGCACAGTCAAACTACGATTCTCTGTGACCAGCTATGCCGTGCTAATCAGTGAGAAAGCACATCTGTATGGGAGAAGACCCTAAGCTATGGCTCTGCTTCCTCCTTAGCAGTTCCCTATAGAAGATACTAGAAAGCAAGGGGCTAAGAAAGCTAAAAAATCCACCAAAGAGGGATTTTGTATCAGTCCAGCCAGATGCAAGGTCTTGCAATGCCAGATATGTTGTAAAAGGCATAATCCCTGCCAAGAGGAAGCCTGGCCTGAGTGGTTGCCTCAGGAGAGCTCAGCCAGGTGGTGTTTTTGCTATATCAGTGCTATTTTAATGGGCTACTGTGTACCAAAGGGCAAGTCTAGACCTATAATTATACGCTTCTAATTGGCATCTAAAGTAGTGAGCTTCAGCCCCAGAAGTTCACATATATATACACGCCCCCCTCCCCCCATATTTACTCGATTCCAAGGTGAGGCTTCCCCCCACCCCCTTCCCCATTTAAATCGAGTATGAACGAGGTGGCAGGGGAGAGACTGGGGACATTGCCAGCTACCATGAGAAGGCAACAAGATTTTCAGCAAGTGAGTAACTTTGAACAGGATGCTCAACTCTGAGCCCATTGGCCACATCACTGCATACTTCTACCTCCCATCCTCTCTTTTGCTGGAGCTGGCATGTCTAAGAAAAGGGAAACCCAAATGTTTAATCACTGGAAAGGTCACACTCAGTGGGAAAAAAGAAATTTAGATTTTTGAAACCCTCGCTTTACTAATTCCTTCAGACCAATGTTTCAGGGGGCTTCTTGCCTTTTGGCACCTTCCAGGAATTCTGGGAACACAGGAACCTCCAACATGCCAGACAATTGCTCTGCCTTCTGTGTCACTTGATAAAACTCTGTTCACTCACACCTTAGATTTCAGGGGTGCAGCATGCCCTCCCCTAATGATAGGAAAGGAAAAAAAAAAAGAAACTTACACTCATTGTAGCATTTATCTCCGCCACAGTTTCTTCATCTGTTGGGAACTGATAGATTTGAACTCCATTGCTGACAAGTTCACTCATGATTTTACTTTTGAATTTATGCAATTCATTTTTTGCAATTGTGTCAGCTTTGGCTATTATAGGAATAATGTTCACCTGCAACAAAAAGAACAGTCATCTTACTCCACTAGTGGCTTTGTAAAAGGATATCTATTTTAGATAGCAGTAAGCAGCAAGGCACTCATCTCCTTCAGACCTGTAATAGGCTCTCCAGGTTTCACCTTCAGAACATAGCCTAGAATTGATTTATCCCCATACAGCCCTACAGCTACAGACCTACCATACATCTACCATGAGAGACAGCAACATTACCATTAAGTGCACAAGGTGTAGGGATTGGCACAGAGATGAACTGATCCTCATAACTTTGGACTAAGGCAAAAAAAAATCCCAAACTACTGGGCCTTCTTCCCCATTGGAAGGGCTTGTATTTTACATAAGTTGCTTACAATTCTGGCACCTTGTTTGGCTGATTTCAACTATATACAAACACAAACTGGATACAGAGCCAAGTTCTCAGCACAGCTTCACTGATTCATGCCAGCTGAGGACCACAGTGTCTCAATGAACGTAGAGTACTATGCCTGTCCACTGCTTTGCTGTGAAACAGGAGCATTTTACAAAGAATCTGTCTGTCCTTACTTGCTAAGACCATGTTTATATTACCTCTGTGTCATGCCCTTAGTCTGAAGCCATTCTTAGTCCATCTTGGAAATGCTTACTGGCACATACTTAGGATTTCTCGGAGGAGGCTACTTTACCTACTTGCTGGGACTTGGTATATGAAGTGGGAAGGACGTCAGTGGGTGGGGCACTGTTTTGAATGCATAAAACATTTCACAATCCGCTTTGGTGTCCAGGGTCTACATGAGATCCTTTAACAGGTTTCCTGATGGAAGTCTGGGGAAAGGTTCATGCTTTTCAGACAACATGCAGAGCTTTACCAAAACTGAACTCTGTAAATTGGCACTAGTCTTAGCTTTTTCCCCAGACAAGGATTAGTAGCTGTTCCAGAGACATCCTATGAAACGAATTAGTTTATGTAATATTTTCAAGTAGTGGAGTTAAAATATTTATGTGGGTCAGTAGTAACGTCTTCCTTATTAGCAGCATCTGTGCTCTCCTAAAGCCAATCAAGGAGAAGCCAGTCTATCACTCAAGATTATGCTTTGCAGTATAATGTTTAATGAAATAACCCCTCTCCCTAGAGAGACCCGTCCACCTATGGCTGTGGTGGGCTAGGCAGGCCAAACCCATGGAAGGAAGGGAATGAGGAGAAATAGCCAGTAATATTTTCATAGTTTCTAGGGTCGGAAGGGACCTGAGTAGATCATCGAGTCCAACCCCCTGCCATGGCAGGAAAGAGTACTGGGAAGTAATCTAGAGCTGGGTTCTTCAACTAGCAGGGGTTAGGGCTGAGACCTCTATGCACAGGCAGGCACTAGTCCAGCTGCAGCCCAGGCACTGCTAGGTTGGCAGAGCTGCAGCAGCACAAAGAGACGGAGGCAGGCAGAGCAGGGGAGTGCAGATGGCTCATGTCAACCACGTAGCATCTACCCAGGCAGACAAGTGGCCTGTCAGGTGTGTAGCTAACCCAGCATGCAAGTCCCAGCTGTTTGGAAGTTGAGGCAGCCCTGATCTAGAGGGAGAGGCAGGGCTTCTCTACAGCCTCTGCTGCATTCAGGAACACCACTGTGATCCATGCACAGGCAGGCATGAAGTGAGAAGGACATGGAAGTCTCAGACTGCCTTCTACTTGATCAGCTTTAGGATAACAAAAATGCTGCTAATTAGGAAGATGTTACTACTGACCCACATAAATATTTTAAACTCCACTACTTGAAAACCCTCTTATATTACATAGACTAATTCCTTTCATCGGATGTCTCTGGAACAGCTACTAATCCTTGTTTGAGAAAAAGCTAAGACTAGTGCCAATTTACAGAGTCCAGTTTTGGTAAAGCTCTGCATGCTGTCTTAAAAGCATGAACCTTTCCCCAGACTTCTATCAGGGAACCTGTTAAAGGATCTCGTGTAGACCCTGGACACCAAAGTGGATTGTGGAACGTCTTATGCACTCAAACAGTGCCCCATGCTTTTACTCAGAATACAAGCAGCTGTCAGAGCCACAGGGTGAGTTCACTTCACAATTCACTAGTGCAAAAAAAATCACCAATTGTAGTTGAAAATTTAGAATACGCTGGACATGTTGATTAAAAAATTAACAAACAAACAAAAAATCCCAAAAGAACCCCATCCAATTTAAATTTTGTTTTACAGCTGTAGTTTTTAGTGCTTTTCTTAACTGGTTCCTTCTCTTTTCTTTTTCTAACTGGTTGATATCTGTAGCACATGTTGCTTTATATCAGATCTTGTCCTTTTTTACTAACCAGGAATACTAATATATACATTTGCTTAATCCCATTTATTAGTTTTAACACACAGTGGATGTGTTTACATGAGGCTACATTATCTCAGCGACAAGCTATGGCAACGTAGCTCATCACTACAGCAACATAGCGTCAGCGGGCACTAACCGTGATGCTGCCACTACTGCACAGTAGCTCATTGCTACTGTGCAGTAGGGTCGAAAACTGTTCATGTGCTGCCGGGACTGCACAGTACCAATAGGTACTGTGTATTCAAGGACAGTGTAGATGCTCCCAGTAAGTACACCCTCCATTATCGAAACCTGTTTAGAAAGTCATTGGGACAGTTGAAGTCAATATGATAAGCGAAAGCAAAACATCCTGTCAAGAGTTATACATGATGCATTATGTACAACCAGAGAGACTTAACAGTAGAAATATTAAAGATAGCAAAGCATAAAAATAAGTTTTATACACATGCAAACATACAAATGCATCCACAGACAGTCATAAGCTACTATATCAAAACATCTGAGCATAGTTACAGTGTTCCACTAAATAAAACTTAAAAAAGAGAACAACTTGTTACATAAATTCATAAAACAAAGTTTACAGTCAGAATATTGAGGATTTGGATAGTCAAAGATGCGCTGTCTATTTAGGTTTTCAATTTATATTTAGGTTTCACTTTTTTGTTGTTCGGAAAGTATCATAGTCAGCATTTTCTATTTCTTAGATTTTTTAAGTCATGATTTGTGGCAAACCACATTTGGACAAACACTGAAACTGAGTTAAAATGCATAAGAACAACATTTTGAATTTTTTTTTTTTTAAATAAAAAAGGTTACTGCTCCCTTGCTGCTAAAATTCCCTGGAGAACCCCATGGGCCAGATGTAATGGCTCTGCAGACCAGACCAGAGGTTGAGCACCCCTGAAACTGTTTAACACATGGAGAAAGATGACTAACATTCTCTTCACCTAAACAGGAGGCTAATGCTATCATAAAACCAGAATTCTGTGGTTTTGGTTTCTTTTAAAAAAAGGAACAACAAAAAAACACTTTTGTAGCAAACACATACTGCTTGAATTTCAGGGGGTGTAAGTTAATTTCATTTTTTTTAAATAGTCACATTAATGTGCTTAATAGTTAAACATACATTAATATGTTTAATAGTTAAGGCCTTAAGTATATGGCATCAACTTCAAATTTGTAAAATAATTTTGAAAGAAAATCAGATTTAAGTATTTTTAAAAGCTTTTGATAAAGTTCTGCTTGGTAGTTTACCCCTGCCAAACCACAGTGCTGATGTATTTGGTGGGCAAAGCTTTTTGCCCCAATGTTCTAAGTGGCCTGGGGTAGGGATCTATAATTTATTTAGCTTCTACTATAGAACAGCTAAGCATTTGTATGAGTTAAGGATGCTCTTTCCACATTTCCATTTCACACACAGAAGCTGCAGTATTCTGGCACATTTACATGCATTACAGACCAGCAGCTTCCTAGGATAAACTTGAACATGAGCTTCCCTCTCTCATCCAAAAGCTAAATCTGCTCCCTCCCCACCCCTATTCTCCCCCAATATATCCCCTGGCTGCTTCATCACTCAGTAAAGATATTGGCTGCACTACAGAACTATGGCTTAGCGGTATCAAAGAAACATTTGGGCCAGTATAATACCCTCGTGGATTTGGTGAGAACAGGGGAATGTTTGGGGCCAATTTTGAACACTATCAGCTTGAAATTAAATTGTTGCGTCTGCTGTCCTGAATGGCCTGGCTCTAGCACTACTATTCATGAGGTTGCTATAGGACAACACTGGTCATACTGGCAGCTTACAAATGTGCATGGGGGGAACCCAGAAAAAACAGTGTTTTACCTTAAGCTTGGTGCACCCTTGCACAAAGCACAGCGCATGCCCAGAAGAGGTATCATGTTAGCTTGACCTGGCTTGCCCAACATTTGTATAGAACACACATTTCAGCAGGGCTTTTTGGCATTTTCATTTTATAGCTCATTGAATCAGCTTTAGATACAAGTGCCAAAAAAGCCCTGCTGAAGTGCCTGATCTATACAGAGACTGGGGAGTCTGGTCAAACTAATGTGCTTCCCTTCCTGGTAAAGTGCTGTTTTGTTTTCTTTTTCCATGTCTGTCAGCAGCCATTATTCTATGGATGGGTGAATCAGTTTATAAAAAAAAAATAAAAAAAGAACCCAGATCATATCCAGCTGGGAACTGTTGGAGAGTCACTAAATTTTAACCTGCTTGTGCTACCTACAGAGCTTTAACACAAACAAAATCATTTCTCTAACACTCTAGCAAGGTCTTTAAATGAAAGGGCAACAGGAGAGCAGCTCAACATTGTAATAGGGGTAGTAAGTACCTTACTGTCAAGCTTCTTCATGGTGACCAGGTCTAGAGATTTCAGTGAATGTCCTGTTGGTGCAATGAAGTACAAGCAAGCATGAATCCTCGTGTCATGGTAGTTGAACAGGGAACGCTTGATCTTCAGCTCTTCCTGCAGGTAGGCTTCAAACTGGGCATCAATATATTCTACAATGGGCTTATAGCTGGAAAAAAATTGGAAGACTGGGTGCTGTGCAAAGTGGGGCATTCATCACAAAGTATGATACATCCTAATTCATGGGCATTCGGGAAGTCTCAGTGCTTCTTCTGTATTTCTGATTTTAATGCCCCCCCACCCGTTTCACCATTCTCCATGGAAGGGCTTGTGGCACCCTGCTGCACACTGCTCATTCCCTTTTGAATGACTGGGGGTTCCAACATGGCACTGGGCAGGGATCCTGGGCTTTTAAGAACATGTAGGCCACAGTAGTCTGCTACCCCAGGCACCACCACATTTTATTGACAACTTGTGCCATTGAATGTTCCACTACCTGCATGAGAGAGACTAGATCAGGGATGAGCAATTATTTGGGCCCAGGGGCCACACACAGAGTTTTGATAAATTGTGGCAGACCAGGTCAGCGCCTCCCTCCCCCTCCCTGCAACAACTCACCAAAACTCCCTATGTGGAATGGGGGTGTAGGCAGGTGGAGCAGTGTTTGGCAATGAAAGTGGGACAGGTGGACGAAGCCAGGATTAGGAGGCAGGGCTGCGGGGCAGTGACAACGCTGGGGAGCAGAGCTGCGATGTGCTCCCTACATGCCCCTGCTCTGCGGCAGAGTGTAGGGTGCATGTGTAGGGAGGAGGGCACATATGGGGGCGGAGGGAGACAAGACACACACAGCATACATCACCTGAATGCTAGGTCCTGGGAGCCTGCCAGTGGTGAGGGGAGGGAGGAGGGGGCAGAAGGCACATGTAGCAGAGCTCACCCATGGCTGCCCCTGTGGCACCCCACACCGCACTCCAACCCACTCCCATGGGCTTGGCCCCAGCCAGCATGAACAGCTTTCTAGGTGCATGGAAGGAAGGCGGGAACTGGAGCAGGAGCCTCACATTGAAGCTTCCTCTGTACCTGGAGTGACACAGCACGAACAGGAGGAGGAGTCGCCGCTGGAGGCAAGGGGAGCTGAGCAGCATCTAGGGGGCTGGCCCAAACCAGGGCCAGTGGGAGCAGGCTAGAGTGCGGCACAGCCTGCCCCAGGTGAGGTTTGGCCCATAGGGGTAGCCACAGGTTGGATCCAATCAATTAGCAGCCCGCCCCGCCGTGGGCTAGATTCAGTCAGTTGGCAAGCTGGATCTGGCCCACAGGCCGCATTTTGCCCACCCCTAGACTAGATGCATCTGAAGTAAAAAGATGTCATTAATACTTAACCCAGCTGCCCACACATCCTCTGTGTTGTTTTAAAAAGGAAAGATATTTACAAAGGGATGGCAGTTTCCCAGGAATTTACAAGAGCAAAACTAGGCAAACCCCAAAAACCAAACAAACAAGAACAACAATAAAAATCTTTCCAGGTTTTATTTGTCCCGCCCCGCCGAAATGCTGTTATGGTGCAATGTGACCCAATTTGATGTTCGTGAAAGAGTGCTTCATGAGCCAGCTCTGCAGAGAGTTTTGTTTAAATCACTTTCCATTGCCCCTCAACACAGGCCTGTTACCAGTAAAGCACAATGGGTACTGGCAGCATGTTGCATTTTGCTGGCCTCCACAAGCACTAGATCTTTCAGCACTGCCCCACCCATGGAGTCCACAAGACAAGTTTTTCCTACAGCTATGTTACTGCTTGAAAATAAAGTAGGACCCTGGGGCCAAAGTCTCTGGTGCTGTTTTGCTAAAATGAAGCCCATTTACACCAGCTATGATGCTGGCCCCCACTGCAACGGCCCTGCCTCAACCAATATCTCTACCTGCTCAAATCCTGTTCCCTTGTTATCTACAGCCTTGACTCTAAAAGCATGCACATTTATAGGAACTCCTAAGCATTCTGCTCTATGGTCACATTATGGGGCTCCTGAGGGACTAAGGCAAGCATAGATCACTTAGGGAATTTTTACAGGCTAACAAGTCATAAGTACATGTTCCTTTTAAAGCTTATTTGTCAACTAGCCTGCAGGGCTCCTAGAGGGGCCAGGAATATGGAGGTAGAGTCCACTACCAAGTTCCCCATTACAGCCCCTTTGAGGACATCTATCAACAGCAAGGTGAGGTAAGCTACTCACCCTGCCACTGCCGGTTCTGGATTCGGCCTGGGGGCATAGACAAGTTTGACGCCCCGATCCAATAAGTTACAACATAGGAACGCTGAAATTTGGTTGCTATCCTGCCATATTGCCATGCCTCCTTCAGCCTCTGGAGCCAGAAATCAATCTGGGGAGCAAGGGGAACCCCAAAGACTGAGCTATTACTGGCTGACTTGACTGACAATCTCCAGGACAACCACTGTCAGGCAAGAGGAGGACTATCAGGCATTTTCAGGTCCTCCACTCCCTTTGGACCAGGTGATTAGAAGTGTGCTGTGCACTGAAGTTCACAGCAGGGGAAACACTTCCACACCCTGACTCCAGATGACAGTATAGCTGTTCAATAGCTGCATCCAGTAGCTCAAGTTTGGATATGCTGAACACCAAGTTCTTGGCTTTACCTACAGGGTGCAGATTAGGGCAGAATATGACCTGAGCTATACATTGTCCACATAGAGAAGGTGCACTGTGATGGAGATCCAAAAAGCTAAGGGAAAAACAGGCATAGAAAAAAATCTTGCTTTACAGATCCTTGATACATTCTAGTCTCCATCCCCCTGGAAACTCTGCCTGATCTGACACACATTATTCAAGGAGAACAATAGCACATTGCAAGAGCATCTGAGACAGCCTACCTTAATGTGACATGGGAGAAGACACATGCACAAAAGAGTCATCAAAATGAGCTGGAAGTCTGATCTGGAAGTACAGATAGCCCCCAGATGCCATAGTCGTTGGTGACAAGTCTGCAATTGTGCTAACATAATCGGAATAATGGTTTTCATAGCCTCTGCTATACCACGTGGCTGCCTTTGTATTGCAACTCTGGAATTAAAAGTCTGAGGTACTCCTGGAACAATGCTGTCAGCTCTTGTTGTCTGCTGAATACACTGGATGCAAAGTAACCCACCAATAACAAGCAGCACAGCATTCACATTCTGAACATCTCCTTTTCAAACCTGCCTTTCTTACAGCTTGAAAGCATATGGTATTGATTCAAGCCCAGAGCTACCAGAGATGTGGGTTTTCCAGAAAAATTTTAATTGAAAATTTTTCCGGAAAATTTTCCAACACCCTAAATAGAGCGTGATCTGATTTAGCATGTTTATTTGACTTATAGTTAGTAAACAAAACTAAAAAAGTACCCTCATGTTAATTTTATGTCCCAATAGCCACAAGTATTTGAACTTAAAATATTTGATTAGGAAAAAAAATTAAATACAGCACACCTAACGTGGTTTAAATGTTATATTCAAACACATTCAAACACAATAGGATGGGGTTTAACACAGACAAGTGTAAGGTGATGCACCTGGGGAGGAACAATCGGCACCATACATACAGGCTGGGGAACTCCCCTCTTGTCAGCACGGAGGTGGAAAAGGATCTGGGAGTCATTATTGACTCCAAGATGAACATGAGTCGG